GGGATTGGAATGAAAACTGACCTTTTCCAGTCCTGTGGTCCCTGATGAGTTTTCCAAATTTGCTGGCATATTGAGTGCAGCACTTTCACAACATCATCTTTCAGGATTTTAAATAGCTCAACTGGAATTCCATCACATCCACTAGCTTTGTTCGTAGTGATGCTTTCTAAGGCCCACTTGACTTCACATTCCAGGATACCTAGCTTCTTTAGACTCCCCTTAAATATCACCCCTGAGACTCCTTTTTAAAAAAATATTTATTTATTTAGACTATGCTGATTTTGGTTGCCTGAAGGCGGGCATAGCAACCCACTCCAGAATTCTTGCCTGGAGAACCCCATGGACAGAGGAGCCTGGCAGGCTATGTTCCATGGGGTCCCAAAGAGTCAGACACCTCTGATGGGATTCAGCATGATCTTAGTTGCAGCACACTGGATCTTCATTCTTCCTTGCAGTATGCAGGGTCTTTAGTTGCAGCATGTGGGATCTAGTTCCCTGACCAGGGATCAAACTCAGATACCCTGCTTTGGGAGCACAGAGTCCGCCTCTGGACCACCAGGAAAGTCCCTCTGAGAGGTCATTTTGCCCCTCCCACCCCCTTCAGTGGATGTGTTGCCCGTACAGAGTACATCTGTCACTCTTTGCTTAGTCCCTATAACTGCATATTGTCATTAGTCATGTTGTCTTTCTCTGCTATTGGACTGAGAGTCTTAATGTGTCACTGAGTCTTTAACACATTGACCACCTTTGTCATTACAGGTATTCAACTTTGTTTTGTTTTTTCTCTTCTTCTTCTTGTTCCTCGTCAAAGGCAGAGGAAGATGCAGCAGGTGTAGGGCCTGGGTATTTAGATGAAACCAGATAACTTTCTCAAGATATGGAGACTGGTTGTAAGCAGACCAGCAAGAAGAGAGAAGAAGAGTCAGAAGGGCCTGCCCACCTGGAAATAGAAGCATAATGGACAAGGGGAGGTAAAAGAAAGAAAATTTGTAGTCCTTTCTTTGTCCTGAAACTGGCAAGGCACTTCCTGTTTGGTCTCAGTTTCTTTATCCACACACACACAGTTACATTCTCAGACTTTCTGCTCTCCAACACACTCTTCAATTTGATGCTACTTTCAGCCTGCTGACTGAAGTCATCTTCCCAGAGCTTAACATGCCACATGATAATTTGAAATATATTTGGTTTATCAAACACATTAGATTCATGCTCTTCAGCTGCCCCTTCCTGGTTATATGATGAGCTTTTCCAACTATAGATCATACCTCCAACCTTCCACCATTAACACCACACACACACACACACACACACACACACACAGCTTCCTGCACTTCCTGCCTCCGGACTTTTTCTCATTTAGTTTCCTGTTCCGGAAATACTTTCCCAGGCCCACCCCAACGAATGCAGATTTTTCCTGTCCTGCTAGCATCCTCTCAAGAAACTTCTTCCCTGTTGCTCACTTCCTTCAAATCCCCTTCAAGGATATGAAAATAATTTCTCTACCTTCTGAAAAGTGTACACACTGGACTGTCCCATTGCATTGTAATTTTCCCAAGTGTGTTTGATCTGCTCCTGTTAATGCAACTCTTCACAGTGGGCTTCATGTCTTCATTTCTTCTCCTCAGTAGCCATGGCATCACCTAGGACTAATAACCAAATGTTATCCAGTGAGTGAGTTAATGAATACTTATACTTCATCTTGAAAAGATGAAAAGTATACTTTCATCTAGAAAAGCAGTAGTCGCTCAGTAGTGTCCAACTCTTTGCAATCCCATGGACTACAGCATGCCAGGCTTCCCTGTCATTCAGATGCTCAAACTCATATCCATTGAGTCCGTGATGCCTTCCAACCATCTCGTCATCTGCCATCCTCTTCTCGTCCTGCCTTCTATCTTACCCAGCATCCCATCAGTGATTAAGATGGTGCCAGGTAAAAAGCTATAATAAATAGTATTGACAGTGATAACAGTAGAAATTGCAATAGCTAATTTCCCACTTCTCTTACACTCCTGGTCGTCAGCTAGAAGGTAGGGTAACTGATACTAAACTGTAGGTCTTATTATAAAGACATCTTTCTGAAGAGTTTCTCAGTGAGAATGATACTCCTAGTAT